AACTTTCATTCTTTAGTTAATATTGTTGACAATATGTTTTAAGAAAAACCACCAACTAAGACCAGAAATAGAAATCCCCTTTACTTCTCTGTAAGCCTTAAACTTTCTATTCTTGCAGAAGAAGGAAAAGGAGGAGGAGGAGGAGGAGGAGGAGGAGGAGGAGGAAGAGGAGGAGGAGGAGGAAGAGGAGGAGGAGAAGAAGAAGAAGAAGAAGAAGAAGAAGAAGAAGAAGAAGAAGAAGAAGATGATGATGATGATGATGATGATGATGATGATTGTCGTGGTCACCTTGGCTCAGGCCTGGGAGCTCACATTTGTACTCTCGGCACTGGGGAGTCTGCAGCAGGAGGATTGCTGTGAGTTTGAGGCCAGCCTGGGCTACAGATCCAGACCCTGGCTTTAAAACATTTAGGCTTTAACATTCTCTTCTAACTGTCGGGTCACTTTCAGCTTCCTATCTCTTTTAGGTTTTCTGCAGTGGAGACTATACTTTCCAGGAACCTTCTAAACCATTTCCTACGCATCACTCAAATCTCTTCTAAGCTCTTCCTGGAATGGAGACATCTATCCCTCTGAGCGCTGTGATTCGGTGCAACCACCTAGAATTGTGTGGAATGCGGTGCCCGTCTTCCAGTCTCTCTAGGACACAGACAGAATTTCGATTCCGAACTCAAGGAAGGTTTATATTAAGCAATTAATTCAGTTTTATTCAACATATTTTATGTAATCAAGCTTGACTTCTCAGAAGTAATTGGTATCAGCTTACATTCTCTCCCCCTTCTGTTCCAGTTATTTCTACCACTTTTCTAAAATTGGAACTTCTAGTCTACCCTTAAACTGGAAATGTTTTTTAGCACTGCTGAATGTTCCATGGGAAAGAAGATTCATCCATGAAATATAAAATAAAGACTAAGGAGGATACTATACCCTTCCACAACATCTAGGACAGCAGGTGCACAGTCAAGACACTTGGCCACAACCAGGTGACAGTTCAAACACGAATGTCATCACAGGTCAGTCAGTTACACATCAGGAGGAGTTTTTTACTGACACGGAATGCTTCAGCGGGAAGTTAACAAAAGCCAATGACCCGAGACTCTTGGAGGCGATTTAGAAAGCCACAGACAAGCAAAACAAGTGTCCCGAATGACATGCAAAGGCTTCCTCTAGGGCAGTGCTCATCAAATGATGCAGCAGGCCCAAAGAGTTCGGTCCAGTGAGCCAGGAAAGGAAAGGTAGAAAAGCAGGAAGACAGCATGCTGACAGACGGTATGCCCCAGAGTATCGCCAACCTACGGGCGCCGTCTGAAGAGCTTTCTCTTCCCAGATGTATCTAGGAAGCAGTGTGAATTTATTCTAAGGGTCGCCTTGAGTGGCAGGGGGCGAACACTGATCTCCACGGCAGACAGAAAGGGGAAGGAGACTTTCAGAGCCTCTCAAGAGGAGAAGCGGAGCCGTGGGCCTAGGGTCAGCCCAGGTAAGCTCTGGGATTCCGCACGAATGCTGTGACTCCCTCAACCTTCTAAACAAGGCAGCTGTCAATCTTTATTTTCCCCTCATCTCCCTCACACTCAAAGCTAGAGTGTGAACAACTAGAAGGTAACTATCGGTCCTGGACTACTACTTCAGAAAACACTAACCGTAGATTGTCACATAAATCAAAATTCATTGCACGCTTTTACACAATCTAAAGTTCAAATAAGACCTGACCTGGGCATCGAGAAACATACCCTGCCACTATGATAGCCATAGCTCACTAAAAAATAAAGGGTCATGTAAAGAATATAAACACCAAGTAAGGATTTTTAAAGCTCTATGAGCTGGGCAGTGGTGGCACACACCTTCAATCCCAGAACTTGGGAGGCAGAGGCAGACAGATCTCTGGGAGTTCAAGGCCAGCCTGGTCTATAACAAAGCTACACAGGAAAACCCTGTCTTGAAAAATCAAAATAAAAAAAAAACAACTATATGAAATGTTTTAAAAGTTTGTATTTTAGCTAGCAGCCAAGAGTAACCTAAAAAGCCAACCCACCCACCCAGCAAGCAAGCAAACAAGTGTTGGAATTCCCTAAACATAGGCTCGAAAACCTTTCTTTACCTGGCCCATATGTCAAGGTATTCAGAATAGCCACTAGCTTTAACTGAACTAATATTATGTATTCATTCCTTTACTTACGGAAACATTCGTGTGTGCAGGACCTGTGCGTGACTGAGGACGGGCGCCACGGCGTATGCTCCTGGAGGCCAGAGGACAGCTCCGTGATGATGGTTCTCTCTCCTTCCACCTTATGTGGGCTCCAGGGTTTCAACTCAAGCCACCAGCTTTGTAGCAAACACCTTTCACCTATGGAGCTATCGCAATGGTGTGTGTGTGTGTGTGTGTGTGTGTGTGTGTGTGTGTGTGTGTGTGTGTGCGCACACGTAGGTATATGTGGAGGTCAGAGGTCAGAGGACAACCTCAGGTGTCCCTCCTCAGGGATTGCCCATCTGTCCCAGACAAGGCTCTCTCACGGGTTGCTAGCTAATGAGCCCCAGGGAATCTATCCGGCTGTCTCTGCCTTCCCAAGTGTGTGACACCCTGCCCAACTTTTTACATGGGTTCTCGGGATGAAATTCAGGTCTTCAAGCACTTTATGGAGGCATCTCCTAAAATAATTTTTAAAAAATATTTAAATGTACTCTCTCAGAATATATCCACTATTCATCACAACTACTAAATAGTCCACTTACCCAAACGCCACTATTCCAAGGTGAGTGCATATGTTACCTGTCACTATGGTGTGTTGTTTTTGTCATTACTAGAAACCCAAACCCGGGTGAAGAGACAGGCAGGCAGGCAGGCAGGCAGGCAGACAGACAGACAGACAGACAGACACACACACACACACACACACACACACACACACGCATGCAGCTGTGTGCACAGAGAATGCCTCTAGCTCCGCAGCAAAGGGTCCCTTTTCGCTCTGCCAACAGAGTTCAATGTTTGGCCGATCTCCCTGCCTCCTATTTTCTTGTCATTTGAAACTCGAGTGACTGGAGACCTTAATCACTGGCTAGTTTTATAAACACGATCCCACCATGCTGGAAAAAGGAGTCTGGGTCTCTACCTTTGGTCCCTCCCCCACTGAATACAAACACCCAAAAGATAACCGTTTGTAAAGTCCCTACCAGGAGGCCACTTTGTGTATCGGTATCAAAGAATACACCAAGGCCAACACTGCTTCACAGCTTCTTTACCTTCCTAAAGGCAAAAGATTTTTAGTTCGAACACTGACGGTGTGGGTTTTATTGAAGCCTTCACTTGCCTACCTAGTCTGATCAGACGTCACGTAAATTCAGTTCTGATTACAGCGCAGGGCACACACAACTGGACATTCCTAATCACCCTAGATGAAAGAATCTGCTCGCTTTCCTTTCTGCTGGGTCGTAATACCAAACCTAGATAGAGCAGAACTACACTCACCTCCAGGCTGGGAGAGACAACATAATAGCCTATTGATCGTTTGTGTAAGACCCGAACCCACAAGTCATCAGCCAAGCGGGGATGGAACTAACACACACAAGTCATGCCCTGGGTTTCCTGGTCCCACACAAACACATCACTGACAGTTTACCACACCACATGTGGATGAACCCATCCTCCTGCCCAGAAAACAAAAATAAAAACTAAACATAGAAACTACACTTCTCAGGTAAGGGAGCTACACACCCCGAATTATACTGAAAAGATAACCGTTTCTTGCCTGGCAGTGAACGGCAATTTAGTCCATTACATTTCCCATGTAATATGAATTCTCAGGCTTTGGAAGTTAGAATCATATTCAATTCCACAGACAAACGCTTTCAAAAGAGATGCTGCCATATGCCGGGGAATTACATGTTGACAGAAGCCAACACCACTATACTCCTGAGTCAGTATTTGTGGCAAATGACTAGGACTTTTTATAAGTAAAATTTATCAAAAAAAAAAAAAGGTAGCTTCGAACTGTTCTGGTTTTTTTTTCTGGAGAAATCAAAGCAATACTCCAAAATGGAACTATTAAGGAGATATTAATCATGTTCTCTGCAATACCCATCCAAGGAGTTAACTAATGAGAACTAAGAATGGCGAAGCAGGACCTTAGTTCTCGCTCGTACAGAACACACTCCTGGTACACACATCATCAGCCTTCTGCTACCTTTCAAGAAGTGTGCCTAACCAGACCACGCACTGGAAGAGGGCAACAGTGACCACAGTAGCGGGAGGAGAGCAGGGATGAAATGACAAGCGAGCTGAGAGTCAGGGCGGACTTGTCCGCCCCGATAGGGCAACACTGAGGTGGGGCTGGAAACTATTTTCTGGCCTCCTCTGGCTTGCAGCTACTGGGGCACAACAAGATCCTACACGCCCGGGACCCACGGAGCCCGGGGCACCGAGGTGGAGGGGTGGGAAGGAAGCGAGCGAGTGGGGACCCAGAGAGATGGGCGCGACGAGAAGAGATGAACTTCCTGCCTCGGGGAGGGAGGATCTGGGGGTGGTGGTGGTGGCAGGACCGTCCCGGAGGCGACCTCCCCTTCTCCCCTTCGTGCCATCCCGGTCCCCTCTCTGTGCACCCGGCGGAGGAGAGAGCGGCCGGGGCCCTGGCGCCGCGCGCGGGGCTGCCAAGTCCGGCCGGCTCGCCCGCTCGCCCGCTGCCGCTCTGCAGGGTCCCCCGGCCAGGACGTGGGCCACCTCCCTGCCGTGCCCCGAGGGCTCGGCGTGGGCGAGCGGACCCGGAGCATCCCCGAGGGCGGGCGGACGCACCGGACGACCCTGCTCGCACACCCCGCGTGGGTCTTTGTCCCGCCGCCGGCAGCGGCTGCGAGCCGAGCCGAGCCGAGCCGAGGGGGCGCTCCCGGGGTCGCCTAGGCACGGCCCGTCCTGGAGTCCCCCCACCCGGAGGGGGAGAGGGGAGGGCCCCATCGGGGTCGCCCCAGCTTTGTGCGGTCATCGGGGCGCGGGGAGGGCGGACACTTACCGTACACCCCGGCGAGGAAGAGCAGGAGCCACGCCGACCCCCGCCGCCGAGACTCTTTTGTGCTCCAGCGACGGGCCATACCCACGGCAGATGGAGGGAGCGAGGAGCTGGAGGAGGAGGGAGGGGGAGGAGGAGGAGGAGGAGCTGGGGCCAGACGCCGCCGCCGCCGAGCCCCTGGCTGCTCCCTGCGCGCTCCGCGGCGGCGGAGGGGGAGGGGCGGGGCCGCCCGCTCGCCCGCTCGCCCGCGCGCGCTCCCTCCCTCCTTCCTCCTTCCCTCCCTCCCTCCCTCCTTCCCGCCGGCCCGGCCTCGGCCGCGAGCCCCAAGCGGGGCGGCCCTTTCCCCCGGGGTTGGGGGAGCCCCAGGGGCGCGCCGTGTGCGCGCGCGCCGACCGGGGTTGGGGGGAGTGGTGGCTGCCGGCGACTGCGGGGCTCGGCTCCCGGCGGTGGGGGGCCGGGGGGACCCCGGCGCCGCACTCACGCACGCACGCACGCACCAGCCGGAGTGCGAGCCAGCCAGCCAGCCAGCCAGCCAGCCGGCCGCCGCGCTCATCCGTGCGCTCGGCAATCCCCTGGCCCGCCTGCCTGGGTGCCCCCGCCCCGCGCGCTCTCCGCTGGCCTCGGCCCCGGGCTCGCGCCGGCTTCTCCAATCCCCCCCCCCCCTCCCCGCACCGCCGGGAGCCCGAGCAGCGAGGCAGCGCCAATCGATGGGCGAGCGCACGAACCCCGGCCGCTCCGGAGCCCCCGGGGGTGGGGAGTGGAGGGCTCGGGGTGGTCTCTGGCGAAGCTCTGTCGTCCCGGACTTTGGGATCGGGCCCCACCCCGTCCGGGCAGGTCCTCCAGGCCGATCGTAGCCACCCGCGGAGGGAGGGTGGCGGGCGGTCGCCGGCGGTGAACTTGGAAGTTCCTTGCTGTGACCCCACCCCACCCCAGCCCACCCACCCCAGACTGTGCCAGCTGCACTTGGAACTTGCCCTGGAGCAAGCGGGTGGGTCCGCGTGGACAGCCCGATCCTGTACCCTAGCACAGGCTCTGGGGATGTGACCTGCTAGGCTGCAGGGTCCTGCGCCCCTAAGCCGCCAGAGAAGCCGCGCGGGGGGACGCCCTTTGGACGCTGGCGCGGTGGGGTGGCTGGGGTGCACCTGGGGTCGCAGGTGGAAAGACGGATGGGTCCTCCCAAGCCCCTTCCCACTTCCTAGCAAGGGTGACCCGTGGCGCTTCTCTCTGTGTGCGGTGGCCCTGGCACACCAGACCCTCCACCGTCGGAAGCGTCTGTCTGCACTGTCTTAATTGGAGCCTTGCCCTTGACAGGCACCGTCCTCTCTTCGCTGGAAGATCCGCATGGCATTGTACTGTCCTGTTGGCACGGGTTAGAAGAGATAACATATTATCCGCGTTTTAGATAAGTTAAGGAGACTTGAAGAAGTTAAAATATCCTGAACGAGGTTATCAAGTAAATCGCCAACAAACTTTTTGTTTCCCGGTTCCAAAGTCAACACTCTGCCCACAGTAGCAGGAAAATCCAGCAAAACGCTTAGAGCCTGCCGGTTGTTGTTAAATTTTAATATATGCCTTGGGGGAGTACATTAGACTTTTTCCTGTATCTCTTGTTGACTTGACCTTTTAATAACCACCACCACCCGGAAATGGTATTACAGAAGATGAAAAACTCTATTGACAGGTATTACAGAAGTTTACGAATCTTTTACAAAGTGACAACAAACACAATTCCTGAGCTCTTTGGTGAGAAGGCAGCAGTTTTGGTGTTCTTGATTCCTACAGTCTGCAGATGTTTCCTTGTTTTATGATACTGCACTCTGCTCGCTTGCCTTTTCAGAGCTCTTTCTGTTAATCGAGTTGCCACAGCAGCTGTGTTTGGGTCAGGCCACAAGCAAAATGAAAAAGTAAACTGGATTGGGTCCCTCCCCCGCCCCATACTTTGAGTACCACTCAAAGAACTCTGTCCCAAGAGAAGTCACGTGGTGCCCACATAGGAGGCAGCTATCCTTTAATCGGCAATCCTCCACCTGTACTTAATACTGAGCTTTCTCCTAGACTTGTCAAATGAGCAAGTGTCTTGTTACCCAAGCCCCTTTAACGTTCTTAAATTTTAATGAGGACTCCAAAGAGCATCTATTTAGAAATTAAAATGAAATCTTTAACCATCTTTAATTCTTTTAAAATAAAACATTCAAATCTATATTAACATCCTCAAAACAAATAGAAAAGTGTCATCGTTTCTATCTCTGCAGACCTCCTTTGTGTCTGGAAACATCTGGATTCTCATATCTGCCTCTGCAGCCAATCTGTTGCAATCTGTTGTTTTGGTTGACGTCTAGTAAGAAAGTCAGACAGAGAACTGCAAGTTGACAAAGCAAGGATCTCATATACTTCCTTGAAACACTTCCCACCACCATATACAGCCTGTGCATCTCCAACCTCTGGGGTGAACCAAAGCACTGAGCACTGAAACTCAGAAACTCAAAAGCAAACACATAACAACAAAACTCCTAAGGATTTGAGGTTCCAAATATTTCTGATGGAAGAACCCACAGCTTTTGAAACTTTAACAGCTATCGCTCTAGCTGTCTGTCTTAGAGGATTCAAAGACAAGGACCCGAAAGGATACTCACGAGGGAACATTTTTCCTTATCAGAATAATTTTACTAGAATCTTGGGTGTTGTTAAGCAACATGTCATAGAGTAGGTGCTTTATCAGGTACAGGCACAACCTTTTATGTTGCCTAGCCTACCTTCCTCGCTCTCTAGGTTATACTGGTCATATGAAGAAGCACTTTGAGATCCATTAGAACACTGGCTATGAAGAGGTTTGTTTTAGTAACCGTTCCATCGAGTGGAGTACTTATTATGCTTGGATGGTTCAGATTTGCATCTGATAAAGTATAAATCATGCCCCAAGGAAACATTTCTCTTCTTCTTTTCTTTTTCTTCTTCTTCTTCTTCTTCTTCTTCTTCTTCTTCTTCTTCTTCTTCTTCTTCTTCTTCTTTCTTTCTTCTTTCTTCTCTTCTTCCTCTTTTTCTTCTTCTTTCCTCCTCCTCCTCGATCTCCTCCTCCCCCTCCTCTTCCTCTTCCTCCTTCTTTGTCCTTATATCCATAAATATGCTTTGAGTAACCTGGTAAGCTTTCTGAGACAGTTCCAAGTTTTTGTGTTGGTGTGCTTTTCATAGGGAGATTATTTCCATGGGATCTTAAAGAACTCTGTCAACCAGTAGAGTTTAAGGAAATGTTGTTAAAGCAGTTATGAGTTGCTTTTTAATACTTTCCCCAGTGAGTCTCACACTTCTCAAGAATAAAAGTGGTTATATACATGGATGTCTTTTGGATATCGCCTTAGAGTATTTTGGAAAAGGCTACGATCTTCCACACCGTGGGACTATGCCCTTACATAATCCAAATTCTTTCATTTTAAAGATCTTTCTCCTTTGGTTATCATCACCTATGGTTTAATTTTTACTCTAGTGAATAAAAAAACCACTGTAAACTGTGTTCTATTTGATGGCATTTGAGGATCTCTTTAAAGCTGAGGTTCCTCTGGGAATTTAAAACTAGGACTCTGAGCATCATCTTTGCTTAGGAAGAAAACTGATGAGAGTGTATTTTCTTCTTGGCACACTTCCAAACAAAGACAAATCACTGCATTAGTATTTTTCAAATGAGAAACAAAGTTGGGTAATACATATAAATACAAGGAAAAATTGATGGGGTCTGTCCTTCTGCATATATGTTTATCTTACAAGTTGATGAATAAAACACTGTTGGGCAATAAGGCAGGAAGATAGGTGGGACTAGGAGAGAGAAGGATTCTGGGAAAGGTGGGCAGAGAAAGCCCACCAGACACAGTTGCCATGTAAGGACGGGTAAAAAAGGATGCACCAGGCATTCTCCAGTAAGATAAGACCACATAGAACTACACAGATTAACAGAAATGGGTTAATAATTAAGACACAGATAGCCAGTAAGAAGCCCTAGTCATCAGCCAACACTTTTATAATTAATATAGCATCCGTGTGCCTGTTTATTTGTGAACCAAATGGCTGTGGGAAGCTCCAGCAACAAAAATATTAAAGGTGGCAATTAAATAAATTAGAACTCTTCCTAAGGAAATTGTCATATTGGAGTTGAATAACACAGGGTTGCAACTGAGAGCTATCAGTCTAGGCAATTTGAGTAGTAGTTCCCCAGCACATTCACTGAGGTTATTTACTATGTTCTGTGCTCCAATGGCCTACCGTTGTACCTATTAGTCAAAGCATACTTCTGGTTCTACATTGCATAGCCCAAATCCTAGCACATTTAGTTTTGCCCTTATAACTTTTAACTTCTTCATTGTCAAGCCAGACCACTGCACCTGTAGACATTTAAAATCATTGCCTCCATCAAGAATAATAAAGGAAAACAGCAAGGCTATACACACTGGTAGAAACACTCCCAAGCTTTTGTTGTTGAAAAAAGTTTCTAAACACATGTCTTTGCCTTCACATTTAAAGTCTTCTCATGACTGACTGAGGATATGAACCAGAAGTTCTTATTGGATGGGAGTTCCATCCCAAGTTTCCATGAGCCCAGGAGCAGTGACCCTGAAGACTGTGATGTCAAATGAATGATTCTTTATGGGGACATGTTGCTAATTTCAGGCACATATAACTTTTTTGTATTCTGCCCAAATCAAATAGAATTTGAAGTTGCCAGTGTATTTAACAAATGCAGTATGCTGTGGCAGATAAAAGCCAAGATCTGACGAGCTTTACAAGGCTGATTTGATCTAGGTGGTTAGCCTTGACGAATCATAAATGCTTGTATCTCATAGTCTCCCTGTTAAAATGGAATCTGACCTCTTCCGTTGCATGCCATCAGAGAAATAATACATGCATGCGAACCCACGGCATGGTTTTCATTTAGCCTTCAAATAATTCTCTCATGTCAATAATATTATCCTCAAAGTTCAAATGAATGAGCAGGCAGAAAGGTTCAGTAGTTTGTTGAGATCACACAGATGGTAAATGGTGGACATTTCATCTTAGAGCCTGCACATGCCATCAGTCTATGCTATCTGTAAATCCAGGCACTTAGGCAGTAAATGACAGCTACTGTTATGTGACATAAATGATATAATCAGAGCAGTCCTTATTTTCTAGTATGTAATTTAAGATAAAATCTATAGAATTGTTTTTCTGTATTTTGTTTCACCAAAGAGATCAACATTACCTTGTGTTCAGTTTAAGTAAGAGACATCAGCCTTTTTAGATTTATTTCGAAAAACAAAAGTCATATTTTAAAACTTTTTTATTTCCTTCCATTTTGGAAAAGCAATGAGAATCAATCAGATGAAGCATCCATCTGGCTTTTTTTTTTTTTTGCTGCTCATGCTAATTTCTTCCTGGTGACCTTGGAGTCATTTATAGCTTCCTTTGAAGATCAGAGAAACCTAGGTTGCTTATTGCCCTGATCTTCATGAAAAAAAATCTATGGCAGATATTTCTGATCTCAAAAGAATACATCAACTCATATGAAACTGCTCAGTTATGAGGCCATGAAAACAGAGGTCGTTGCTACTGAAGAATAGATTACTCCAGCTTCATCATAAATAGGATGTTCTCCTTGGAAATACCCAGGCGGGTTTGCATTTTGAATACACACCAGCTGTGATGTAAAAGAGCAGCCTAAGCCTTTGGATTCCCGTACTTAGTCTGCTGGCCTTGCTCGCACAGCAGGGAATGGGAAGGAAATTGTACCACAAGAATTTCAACATAAAAATTTTATTCTTATACTCAGTGAAATGGATTAAGTAACCAAAAAAGAATGCTAAGCACTTTGGAGCATTAGTTCCAATGACTCTAGTCACCAGGGCATGCCACTCATCACTCTATAGTCACCACAAGCCCTGTCCATATTATTACCAACCCTGCTGAAATCCAAGCACTCCTGACATGGTAACTCCAATTTATAAACCCGTACCTACAAGATTTCATAAAATATGTTTTCCCTTGAAATGCAGGGTTTAAGGCAATCAGTACTAATTAGCAGGGAGAAACCTCAGAGGTGTCGTCAGCTGTCACGTGACTGGAAGAGAAGGCAGCTGCTCTGACACTCATGGGATCTGAGTCCCAGCAGCTCTGACCTTCTGTTCTCGCAGGCCAGACTTCAGGGAATGAGGCTCCTGGACACATCTGCCATTTATTTCATAGCTTTACCCAGGCAGTCAGCTGGGCTGCCAACCATGCCTGTACACGCTTCTCCACTCCTATCTAGTTTTCCTGTTCAGTGTGTCTTGTCAGGTTTCTTAATGCTGTTAAGAGACACCCTGACCATGACAACTCATAAGTGAAAACGTTTAACTGTGGTGACGTCTTGTTTATACTCTAACAAATAAAGCTTGCCTGAAGCTCAAAGGGCAGAGCTAGCCACTAGCTAACCATAGAGGTCTGGAGGTCTGTACAGACAAGACAGGAAGTGAGATGGCGGGGCAGAAAGAAGAATATAGGGCGAGAGGAGACAGGAGCTCAGGCTCTTTCCAGACTGAAGATTTGGTAGAGGCGAGAGCTCTAGTAGCTGACGACAGCTCTGTTTCTCTGGTCTTTCAGCTTTCACCCCCTGATATCTGATTCCAGGTTTTTATGTTTAAGACCAATTAGAACGTGTGCTACACTGCCCGCCATGGATATACGGGCTTCTCTACTCCTGTCTAGCTTTCCTATTCAGTGTGTTGATGGGGGAAGTCCCTCTGCGTAGACATTGATGAATAAAGCACTGTTGGCCAACAGGGAAGCAAGATCGGTGGGACTAGGAGTCACAGAGGATTCTGGAAATGTAGTCAATAGTAAGAGAGTCATCGCCCGTGTGATCACGGGAAAGGATGCATGAGGCTGTGTCCTCAGTAAGATAAGATCTTATAAAAAATACATATTAGTAATTATGGGTTAATATTTAAGTCAGAGCTAGCCAATAAGAAACAAAGCAAACGGCCAACAGCTTCATAATTAATACAGTTTCTCGTGTGTTGTTTGGGGGCTAAAGTGATGACGGGACCCAGAAGACTACATGTTACAGTGTGTCTTAGGTTCCTTAATGCTGTGAAGAGACACCATGACCAAGTCAACTCTTGCAAAGGAGATCATTTAATTGGGGTGGCTCACAGTTTCAGAGGTTCAGTCCGTTATCTTCATGAAGGGAGCATGGCAGCTGCAGGCAGATGTGGTGCTGGAGTTGAGAGTGCAGCATCTTCCAGGCAACAGGAAGTCGACTGACTCCCTGGCTGTTATTCCAAGCGTAGGAAACCTCACAGCCCATCCCACAGGCCACACCCACTCCAACAAAGCCACACTTCCTAAAAGTACCACTCCTTTGAGATTATGGAGGGCCAGTTACATTCAACGGCTGATGACTTTGAAGAAATCCCTTCTCAGTTGTCACTAATGTCACTAATCCTTCTCAGGATGGTTAATCACTGCCTGAGAAGCCTCCTTCTAGGGAAGGCTTCAGACCTGTTCTGGCCAGCCCCTTCATGAGTGTCCCTCAGAAAGGACAGCATTAAGAACTGAGCCCTACGTCACTCTCAAAACTGGAGCAGGCCTTTGTAGTCTATGACTGGTGCCTTTCCCTGATCTGGGGAATAGAACCAAAACTCTCGGATTCTCCCATTTTCAATTAGAGAAGAACAGTAAAGTAAAGAAAGTTCCAGGTGGACAGGTGTAGGACGAATAATAACAACCCAGAGACAGATGTTGGGGCTAAAGCTGAAGAACAGAGAAGCCAAGCAGCCAGGCCACTAAAGAGTCTGCACCTCTACCAACACTCAGACCGAAGGGGAAATGGTGCCCTCTGATTGCATCTCCAGACTGCACTGCTCCTCAGACGGCCTAGGCTGCACTGAGCTCCTGTCTCCTCCTGCCTTGTATTCCTCTCTCTGTCCAGCCACACCACTCCTGTCTCCACCTCCCTTGTGCTGGGATTACAGGCAGGTCATCCCGAATGCTGGGATCAAAGGTGTGAGCTCTGTTTCTCTTTTGGACTGATTCACTCTGGTGCAGCCCAGGCTGGCCTTGTACTCACAGAGATCCACCCTGCCTCTGTGTCCTGAGTGCTGGGATTAAAGGTGTGGCCACCACCGCCTGTCCTCAGTGACTTAGGTGTGTAGTTTAACTAGAGGCGTAGCTCTTAACTAGTAGCTTAGTTCTGCATTCTGACCTCCAGGCAAGCTTCATTTGTTAGATCACAAACAAAATATCACTATAGACAAGGACTTTAAACTGCTTTTATTTAAGTACTGAATCTTCCCAGGTAAGTGTGTGTAGGCAAGTGGATGCTCAGAAAACCTTTCATGAAGGATGAGCTGGGGATCTAGGCAAGGAAATGTTCCCCTGGGGAAAACGAGGAACAAAGTCATCAGGCAGGATAAATGGAAGGGAGAGGGAGGAGGAGGGGGCGGGTCTTTCAGTTTGGTCTTAGCCAATAAGCATCACTGCAAAGCAAAATCCACATAACCCTGTATGATACTGGAGATGTTGCTTAGCCAAGATTAAAACAAAAATCATTCTGGCAATGAAGACAACAGTTTTCTATAATTTTGTTATCAATATTTAGTGTTTCCTCTATACTAAGCAAAATGGACTCTTCATAGCCTCAATTAGTTCTAGAGGATCTGTAACTCATGTGGCATTTTATCGGCTGTTAAAATTAATCTGACCTTTGTTCTCTCACCCAACAGAGCCTCTTCACCGAGCACCTTCAAAGCATCCCCCTTCGGCAAATGTGAGCCAATGCCTCGCTTCACTTGTCTAGAGCAATTCCAACACTCTTGTCGACGGCATGGCGCCGTTCCTTGTGTCCGTTTCAGAGGTGAAGAAACTCGTGTCCAGAATGAAGTCAGGATCAAGGAGCAGAGAAAGCATCCCAGACGGGTAGACCCCTGCGGCACATGTTCAAGTTATGCTCAATAGCTCATGACTCTCTGACCCTTTAGCCATTATCACAAATGCTAGATATGCACAGTAGTTTCCAATTTGAAAACACTCAGCAAATCATCTTTATTAATTGTTTATTTTCCTCTCCATGTATGTGAAGTCACTAAAGTTGATCGTTAAGCCAAATAGAATCAGCCCTCTAGAAACTAGCTAGAATTTTGAGGTTTTTTATTGTCAAAATAGGGAAAGAGGTTAAAGACGGTGGAGAGACTGTAGTAGTTGGAGACTTTCCTTGGCAGGAGCACGGAGCAGCGAAAGTTCTCTTCTGTCGGGCAGGTTATTGTGAGTGCAGAGAAGCTTACAGTTGGAGAGACATGCCGGTACGTACATATAACTCTCAGTCACGCGACGAGTTTTTGCTGAGCCGTTGCCATGCGGGAGTGCGCGTTCTGGTGCCTTAATTGCTCAGTGGACAAATGCGAGCACTCTGGTACCTGCGGATGACACACCAGAGCTGTTAGAAAGAGTTAGAGAAGGTCTTGTAGAGCAGACGCTCCATTTGAGAACTGCATGGGAGATTGCCAAGGGGATACTCACAGTAGATGGGAAAACATTTCCACCCCAGGAAGACTGAGTGGGTGGAGACGGGAAAGAGGGACAGAATCACTCTGAGAATGTAAAGTGGTTTGGTATTGAGGATTCAAAGTGTGTGTGTGTGTGTGTGTGTGTGTGTTGTGTGTGTGCGCGCGCGCATGTGTGCATGCCTGCTCGCGTACTGACATGCAACCTCGAGTCGCTTTCTTTTGTAGCATGCAAGTGACTGAGGGCCTCCTAGGACCTGAGCAGAGGAGTCCTGCGCCGTCTGTGACAAGGCCTGGGGCGGCGGTATCGAAGAGACAGGCTGAGGAGCACTTACACCAGTGGGGAGGAGGGGGGGGGAATGCAATGATTGATCACGGCTTGAAAGAACAGAAAATCAAGAGTGCAGAACAAAGGAAGGGAAGGAGGACGGATCTAAAATGACCAGAGGGGACAGACAGCGAAGGCAGAGGGGAGCCTGGGAGAACAGGAGGGCGGAGTCCAGGAGGCACAATCGTCTTCTATCTATGCATGCACGGTGGGGACTAACAGAGGTTAGGCAGAGCATCTGGTGCGGGGTATGTACCTAACAGCTGCCGCGGAGATCTGTCCGCTTGACCTTTAGTCCAGAGCAGAGTGGAGAATTCCGAGTGATGTGTGTGTCCTTTCTCTTGCAACACGCCCTCCCTCCCAACCCTCTCATGCTGTCGCATCGACTATTTTGAATTCAGCTTCTGTGTTTGTAAGTTTTGGGACGGGCCCTAGGTATGACATTGAAGCACACAAACCTTCAGGTCCGCCCTTGGCCTTACACGCGAGTGTAGCCTCTTGATGGGTTTGTATTTTTCCCTCTTGATGGGTTTGTATTTTTCCGTACCTTCGACTCTGCTTCCTCGGTGGTGATTCTCGAGGGTGAAAGAATCCATACTGGAACCAAATGTCTCTTTCCCCGAGATTTTCAGCGAGAAGACGCTTAGGGAAAGGTTTGGTGTGGAGTTTTAGCCACTGTGAGAAAGACATGGGGTCGTCAAAGGTCTCCCCACTGCGTTTCTAAGACAGCCTCTTGCGGTGAGGTAACCCTTGCCAGAGGAAGAGGATGCTAACTCGATGTAAAAACTGTCTGGACTTCCCTCCTATAGTCATACTAAGCCCTTGGAAGAGTTAAAGGTCACAAACATTTATTACATTGGTAATGCTCTTTTTGGAAATCATATTTCTGGCAGATTTCAATGTACTTAGCTGCTAACACAATAGCCAAAGAGCACCATATCCTCTGTCTTGTTTGATGCCAATTATTCTGTCACCGTTTCGTTTGGAGCTGTTGGAACACCTTCAAATGCGGTTCAGGACAGACAAGTTCAACCCTACAGAGGCCGTATATCTCCATGTCTCCTGAATCAGCTGTTTCCTATTAAATCTTTAAGCAATATTAATGACTGTCTGCTGTGCAGCCAAGTGGTTTCACCATGCTCTTGATTCAATTCAGCTCCCGAAAAGGAAAACAATCTCATTAATCATTTTTTTAAGATCCAGCTTATGCATGTTGTATAGATATTTTATTTCCTGAGACAGTCTCTGCCGAAGTTCTCTGATGTAAAAAGAAAGACTGGCTCATTGGCTAAAAAAAAAAAAAAAAAAAAAAAAAAGTTGTTATGAACTACGGTTTTCAAAGCAAAAGCAAATGACAAGGGGACTTGTCTACTCTGATATGCGACTGGAAGCCATATTCATTTTTGTTCACTGTATCATTTGTAATACGTTATGCTTTATGAGTGTGTTTTGTATCTCATGTAAATTAGTTATGCTCATAATCCTCTATTTACATATAAGCCTCGGGGAGCAAGTTTCCTAGTAAATGCATTGTGAGAAAAGATCTTTTCACCAAAACAGAAGAGGAAGTGCGTCAGCCCAAAGATATCCCAACAGCAGAGACCCAGGGCCAGAGGCCTGCTTGGGTCCTGGCCAAAAACCTCCGTGACAAGGTCCCGAAAGACAGGAAGCAATTGGTTAGCAAAGTTTTCCCTTTAAGCTCAATGTGAGTGATACAGTAAATGTGGAAGAAAAAAATCTGTAGTATGCCTCTAGAAAAATGATGTGAGCAGACAATTAGTACGGTGTTTGCAGGAAAGCCGTCTAGAAGAGGCAGCAGCATTACCCAAAATCACGATGGAAAACTTACCAGTTAAGAGCTGGGCACGGAAGTGGTGGTGTCGAAATAATCTACTCCGGGCCTGGTATGGCTTCACTTTCACTGAGGCACTCTCAAGGCCCATTAAGTAGGAGAGACTTCTCATGTAACGGAAGTCTTAGTCTACTTGAATTGCTGTAATGAACATTCTGTAGGTTAAAAAAAAAAACATACCAATTATTTGTCAAAGTTACAGAGGCTTAGGAGCCCATGACCAAGAGGCTGGCAGATTCTGTGCTTGGCAAATTTGAAGACCGCCATCTTTTTTTTTTTCCTATAGCCTCTTATGAGATGGGGTAGGTATGGTCTCTGGGGTCCCTTCTTATGTGGGCATTATTTTTTGTATAATGAAATGACCTCCTGTAGTAATTACATTTCTCATTCCTGTGACAAAATCAATGTAAGGGATGGCAGGTTTCTTTTGGCTCACGGTTTGAACAAGCAGTCTGTTGCTGGGGGACATGGGTGGACCCCTGAGCACAAGTGAGTCCAGAACATACTATCCACAGTCAGTACGTGAGGAGGTGGATGCCGGAGCTCAGCTTGCTGAATCTTTTTACTCAGTCTGGGATTCCCAACCTAGGGAATGCTTCGACCCGCAGGTAGGTGATCCTCCTACTTCAATCAGACTTCCTCGTAGATGTAGATGTGCCCAGAGATTTGTCTCACAGGTGGTTCTAGATCCTGTCAAGTTGGTAGGCAGTATGAACCACCCCACCCCATCCCCCAAAGGCCCCACATTCAAAGAGAATCACATGTAGCAATAGCTGAGCTGAATCTAGGGATATCCTAACAATTCATAACTATCCCTTACATTATCAACATAGGGACAGAGAAAGAGAAGAAATTCGCTCTTTCTTCCCACATCACTGATACTAGTGCTCTTATGAGCTCTCATGCATTATAATGCATGAATCTAATTAGAGGTCTTTGAATTACAGATCTTGGTTTTATGTCGAGAAAGACGAGAGAAGTGGAGAACAATGAAAATATGATTGGAATATAACACGAATTTTCAAACAAGTGGGATAATTTGCTGTCCTACAAATTTCAGACTTGCTAGACACACAACCATAGCCACAAGAGATAATTCCTTAAAATGAATGTCTGTTATCAATAACATTTATCTATCTGTCTATCTATCATCCATCTATAGCTATCACCTATGTATCTATCTATCTATCTATCTATCTATCTATCTATCTATCTATCATCTACCATCATTTATCTTTTCAGTTCTGAAGAACCCTGGCAATACATACAGATATACACTATTTTCACACTGAACACTAATCCAATGCAGAAATATATTATTTTAAGCAGTTTGGTCTAGGTAGACCAGTTGTATTTGGATTTCCTTTGTGAGTGTTATCCGGGAAACAGGTCTCAGCACATTGTACTGGACTTCTCATGGAAGTGCTTGATCAGTTTTGCTTAGATGCGATTCACAATAAAACTTGACTCTGCGGAATCCCTGCCATGTTTCCTTTTAGAAGCTCTTCAAGCCAACTTTTCGTGAGAATGTGTGCAAAGAAAGGTACCATGGCAACCAGCAGAGTCTGAACATTCGAAGGGCACTTTGATGAGACATACATCACAAAGTTAAGTATCATCAAACATATTCATCATTTAAAAAAAAGTCAAGCAATTGGTTCATCATAAACTATAAAACATTCAATTAAACTGGAGACTTAAAAGGATCTCTAATCTGGCCTATACATTTTACAAATAAGCTAAACAGAAAAATGAAGTTGATTTCCAGTGCTGGTTTCGGTCAGCTTTCAGACCGAAGTCTTTAAAAAGCGTGTCAAGCTGTGTCCTATGTACTCAAAAATGCCCAAGGGCTTCTGCACTCACTCTGAGAGCGCTCTCAAGTTATACAAGGACGTACTTGATCTGGACTTATCCCTACTCTACCTGGTTATCACTTTAGCCTCATCCTCAGCTGTTATTCTCCTAGTGTGTGTGTGTGTGAGAGAGAGAGAGAGAGAGAGAGAGAGAGAGAGAGAGAGAGAGAGAGAGAGAGAGAGAGAGAGAGAGAGAGAATGTACTGGGACTTTTGAAGAATTGGTCTGTGCAATTGTGGTGCCTGGCAATCCCGAGACCTGCAGGGCAGGCTGCCAGGCTTAAGGCCAGGGAAGAGCAGGTATTTCAGCCTAACAGTTGACAACGTTACACCCACCTAGCTCCTCACACCTGTAGCATACCCCTTCCTGTGAATTCTGCAGGATAGGCTACCAGGATAGAGACCAAGGAAGAGCTGGCTTTCAGCTTGAGTCCGAAGTGGCAATTTGAAGATGGACCTCTTCCTTCCCCAGAGAGCATCTGCGTTGGCTTTCAAGTGGTTGGATAAGGCTCCCCATACTGTACTGGATAGTCTGTTTCCAATCAAGTTTATGTATTTAAATGCTAACCACACCTGAGAAACACCTCAAAAGCAACTTCTAGACAGATAATTGACCTAGCTACTAGATACCATGGCCTAGCAAAGTTAACACAAGAAGTTAACAATCAAGGTGGTACAGTTTGGTTGTGAGCCTAGCCTTTAATGGCTGAGCCATCTCTCCAGCCCTAAGGTGGTATAGTTTGGTTGTTGACACAGCAATGAAGAGGCCTGACCTAATAATACTGATAGGCACTTCAGTCTCTGGAAGCAGAACAGGGGTGGCCCTGGAATCATGAAGGAGCAAGTTGGCATAGCACAGTCTTTGGCTGTTAGAACAGGTTAAGGAATGGCAACTAAGATCATTGTGTATTGTGGCATATACAGGCAGTCTCCCGTCAGCAATTATGTGGACTCCACTAATGGTGGGACGAAAGAAGGCTTTAAAATTACATCTATACATGATGGACAGACCTTTTCATTGTTATTCCTCAAGCAATATTGTACCATAGCTATTTTATATAGCATCTAATTGTATTAGGTGTTACAATCAATCTAAAAGTGATTGTGCATTTGTGGATTTTGACTCTGTCAGAATTCCACGAATGATTTCCTCAGATACTGAAGGGTGGCTGGGTTTGTTTACTGGTCAAAACACCCATTTCTTCTCTGACCGGTTAATATGTATTCTATATGCCTATGATTATTCAACATATATTTATGTCTTTCCTTAATTTCTGATGTTGAAAACAACCTTAGAAAAACGTCATGAGTCTGTTGGCACTACTTAAACTATTTTTTTACATTCTTATTTGTGTGTCTCTGTGTGCCTGCATGTGGGCATTGCGTGTGTGCGTGTGTGTGTGTGTGTGTGTGTGTGTGTGTGTGTGTGTGTGTGTGTGTGTGTGTGTAAGACTGGTGCATGCCTCATGGTAAGTGTAGGGGATCAATGGCAACTTGCAGGGGTTAGTTTTTGCCTACCACACCACACGAGGTTCTAGGGATCAGTTTCACGTTGTCCAGTTTGGTGAGCGGTGGCCGTGACAAAGAGCTGTCCTTTCACCATGGTCACGGGTAGCAGGCTGATCACATGTGATTTCAGTGAGATCCAGTGCTCACCGGTTCTGGCGTCACATGTGGAAGATTACACCTCACAATACAGCCTCCGTAACAGCCTGGCGTGTCAAAGTAGGTCAGCAAAACGTTACCCTCCTGCCCTCCTGATTTGGAAGTCACACACACACACACACACACACACACACACACACACACACACACACACACACTTTTCCTTTTCCTTTTTTCAACTCTGCATAGTTAGAATGTTTGTCAGGATAATCGCCAAGGCCAATTATGGGCAAGGCCTGGTTTTCTTAGAAGGAGATCTGTGTATTTTGTACCCACAGCTACTGTTTGACCATCTACAAAGTGCAAGGTACAACTGTGATTTCAGTGAGCCTTCTCTTTATTTTGTGAAATTCCTGGTGTATTTCTTAAAATATTTTGCTCTAGTATTGTAGTTGTTTTGCTGTTTTTTTTTCTTCTTTATCTAACACATGCTTTCTTCTTGTTTTGTCCTAAAAAAAAGTCTGAGCTAGAGGCTTCTGAGAGATGAGGGTTTTATTTGGGGGGAGGGGAGTGATTTTTGCATGATACTAAAAATTACCACTATCTATTGGGTTCCTACTCTGTTCTTCATACACGCTATTTTTTTTTAATTTTATTTTCCAGTTTAAATTTAGATAAGAAACGAGGTTGCTTCACAAGTCAGTTCCAGGTCCCTCTCCCATTCCCTCCCCTCCTCTCGTGCCCTTCCCCCAATCTCCCCCCCCGTTATCCCCTCATTTCCCCAGGGAGGGTGAGGCCCTCCATGGGGGTGTGCATAGTCTGTCATTTCATATAGGGCAGGGCCTAGACCCTTCCCCAAGAGTTCAGGGTGAGAGTGCACCTCACATTGTTCTATGGGAGTCCAAAGTCCGTCATACACGCTATTTTTAATATTGATAATTTTGACTTTGATACAGTTGAAGTGACTAAAGCTCAGAGTTGTTGAGTAACTTATATAAGATATTCTAGCCCAGAAATGGCAGAGCATAAGATGAACCCAAATTATTAAATGCTGGGCTATTTCTACTCGATCGTGCTAATTACAGCTCATCTTGTCCTTTTAGCAAGAACAGCAGATGATGGTTTTGGAAACATGCTTGTTCTACACATTTAACACAGGCCATCTCATTCGATCCTTAAATACCCTTACAAAGGAGGCAGTGCTCACGCTTTCTTTTATAGAAGAGGCAAATGGAAAGCACTGGGATTCAGAAACGTGGCAAAGTTAAAAGAACCAGTGAGACTGGCTTATAAGGGGGAAGTTCTTATAATTCCTATTCTTCGGATCAAGAGCCAGATTCCCAGAGATCAGTAGTTTGGTGATGCTTACACAGTGGCTAAGTGTCAGAACTCGGCTTCACCGGGCTTCTGATGACAAAGTTCACGGCCTTAGCAAGCGCGTGCGTGATGTAAAATTAGTCTTTAAATGTGAGGCTTATTAATGGCTCTTGATGGATGTAAGAGCTGTGTAATAATAACTCTAAGTGTTTGCTGTGTGTGAAACTTGAAGTGAATGCAGGAGATGCAGAAGAAACTTATTAAGAACACTGACCATTTCAAAGCAGGAAGGATAACTTTGGAACACCAAGAAACTGCACTAAAAGACAATCCAACCAAGCATGTAGAAACCAGAAATTGGATTGCTCTTTGGAAACAAATGCCACAGGCCATTGTAAAGGTATTATTTAATCTGTGCTGTAAGAGTACCCTTTTAAGTTGAAAAATGTTCTTTCTTTTCCTCCATGTGTAATGGCCAAATCTCTTTGGTCACTCTTCCTATCATTTTAAATGGAAGAAACCATGACCTTAACAGTATAATACCACGGCTTTCTGATCTAAAGATTAAGATCCTAAGAAACTCCATTCCTAAATTTCAAATTACTCCTGGCTCTTTCCTTTTTGGAAATGAGCATAAATATTTACAACCAACACTATGTGTTCTTACTGTTCAAGCAGAATGTGACACCTGCACTGATTATCCAGGTCATGTGCTTATAGTCACTAGTAGTCATCGTCTTGCCTGGCAGAAACTCCACTTTTTCATGTTCATGCCATATGAACAGTAGAGTTCGAGACAAATGAGAAATGGCAAAGACATTAAGCTTATGTTCTTGTGGAAGATCGAATTTCAAATTTAAAACTCTATTAGTTTTTAAACGGGGCACTATTGGTCTGATAGTGCTCTGATGTAGCTATCCATGCGGAGGAATTTGTGTTGCTAAGTTTGTATTGGGTATTGTTGAACAGCTCTGCATGCCATGGAGTGTTTTACAAGTTGCTGATCTTTCTACTTCTACTCGGAACTCAATTGGCTGAAATTAAAAATATAGGCGTGGCCAAAAGGTAGGAAGTTCCCCATGTGGACCACCCTAAATCTCCTAGAGATGCACATGGTCCTCCTTGGTGTGTGTGGAACCACGTTTTAAAGTATTCTTTGTTCCTTGTGTACTTCTAGTGAGACGTTTGTCTTCATAAAAATAACATATCCTGTAAGTCCACTTGTTTTACTGACCATACTGATTAATCTATTTAAATATTTACTGATTTTCATTTTGTATGCTTGCCTGCATGGATGCAGGTGTACTGTGTGTGCATGCCTTGTATTTGTAGAGGCCAGAAGGAGGTATTGGATTCCCTGGGACCTGATCCCCATAACTGTGACAGTTCCGAGGGACCGCGTGGATGCTAAGAATTGAACCCACGTCAGCTGTAATAGCAGCCAGTTCTCTCAGCTGCTGAGCCGTCTCTCCAGCTGGCACAGTATACCTAGTGTGTTCTGTTTGTGTACACGTACAGGGCACACAGCATCCCTATCACTGAGTCGTTAAAATGTTTCTATTGGAAGAATAATAACTTTGGGGGAGTTCATCAAGCCCCGGATGAGACATTAATTATACCCCAACTCCGAGAGTAGAGAAGATGAGTGTTGGAGTTCTAAGCATTGGTGTTCAAATGGAGACAAGAATCCTGTGAAGGACGTTGGAGAAGTGCAGCAAAGCAACCCCAGATCGACGCGGAGTGAAGTCCACAGGTGAAATCACAGAGAAATCAATCATCTCGTTACAGTGAAGCTCTTTGCACAGAGAAAGACTCACAATTGACGCACATAAGGAAAAGCCACGATGGTAGTCCACAGCCATCTTGTGAAAATTTGCAAGAAAGGCAAGCATGACGGAGCTGTTAAATTTGAAGGGTACAGGAAGCTCCTTCGGATGTTGAAACAAAATACATCACAGTTAAAAAAAAAGTGGCCGATGACCTTGTGGGGTCAACCGTAGACAATGCTACTGTGAACGGTGCCCACGGACTATGCACCAGGTGCCAAGTCAGGCATTTTATATTTTGCACTGACTGCCACCAGCATCCTAAAGGTTCAGGGTGCTTCGATGTGTCAGCGCAGGCTTTGGAGGCTGGCAATCACAGTCAAATTCTCACTGTGACTCTACTACTGTCTGTTCTTGGGAACCAGGCCAGCGTCTGACGCGCTCTGTCATTGATCTGAAGAGGTCTGCTCTCCCTGTCTCCACCTCTCAGTTTCTACCCAGTGCTCTCCCCGTTGGATGTGGTTGGTAGTCATTGACATCAAAGGACCAGATACAACTCTGGGCTGAATCTGGAATTTGGTCCTTTCATTCCTGCCAACTTTCAGTTAATTCTCTTTATCTGGTCGCCATCGATTCCCTCTGCTTCTGGGACCTAGTCTGCATTATCCAGGAACTAACTCTGATGATGAGCTGAAGATAACAGTAAGTCACAGGTCAGGTTCAGATACTCAAGTGAATTCAGGAAGCCAGACAAAGTTAAGTAAGGGGAGGTCAGGAGTGTTCGGTAACAACTTCAATAGGATGCCGGTGGTGGCATAGTCCACTCATGGAGCCTTTGTAAAGCACAGATCCCTGAAACATAGCGTGACTCCTGATCTTTTCTCATGACACTTTTAGGCACCTGGAGCACAGACATGACCCAGGGCTCGGGCATGTGTTTGTAGTATGGGAAACACAGAAAAGTCAGAAAGGCTCATGGCTCCACAAGGGGTGAGAGACAGAGTCCCTGCAGCGAATGGCAAATGGAAGGGTCTAGATAACCATCAGACCTCTAGGCAGTCCTGAAAACGTATGCTTCCTTCTGTTATAGAAAACATTATTCAATAAATATTTAATATTCCATCAGAGTTACAGTTAAGATTGTCATTTAAAGGCAAAACCAGATTTTGAGGTGAATGTTGGCGCAGTAAATTTTTAATGTGCTGTATGACTGCCGCCAGGCATGAGGGACTGCCTTTCGTGATGGCATTTTGTGTGCGTGTGTGTGTGTGTGTGTGTGTGTGTGTGTGTGTGTGTGTGTGTGTGTGTCCTTTTGACAGTGTAGAGGCTTCCTCACTCAGCAAGCTTCCGAGATGGCCAACAGTGAGCTTCACGCCGTGCTTGTGCAGAGAGTAGGAAGACTCGAAAGTCTCAGTTCTCAGAATCAAGGGAGTGAAAATAGAACAAAGGAAACCTAGACTATAGTGGAGCTATTTTTAGTGTTTGGGGTGGTGTGGCAGATGTCTGTTGTGCACTGTAATGAGTGAATCGGGATGACTCATCCGTTTTATGGGGCTGGGAGGCTTAAGAAGCCCCCACAGAGTTTAACCTTGAAGTGTGACAGAAAATCCAGCAAACACTCTGTGAGTAAAATGAAGCCTAAGAAACTCTGGACCAGGGATATGGGTGAGCTGATATAGAAGGGTGAGGAGCAGGATACAGAGAAAGAACTTAAACAGAAGAAGGAAGAGGAGGAGGAGGAGGAGGAGGGGGAGGAGAAGAAGAAGAAGAAGAAGAAGAAGAAGAAGAAGAAGAAGAAGAAGAAGAAGAAGAAGAAGAAGAAGAAGGAGCACCTGACTATGACATGGTAGATGGATGTTAAATTTGGAGGAAGAGACAGTTTTAGAAAGTGGTCACACAAGCCTGACGGGAAGGAAACTCATTGGGAAAATGACTTAAAAGTAGGACTTTGTTGTGCATTGGAATTAAGAAGAAGGGCGAGTCTGGCTGATTCTAGAATCTTGTCTCAGATGATGGATGAGGTGCCAGCCCATCCGTTAAGATACGGAGCATTTAGAAAAGCTTGAGTGTAGAGATTGGAGATGGTTTTAGGTGCCCGCAAAGAACTAAGTTTAGTAGAATCGGCACTTACAGGAGGGTAGTGGACGTGGCTTTGGGCGTGAAGCAGGTGTCAACCGGAGCTCTCGAGAATTGGGTAAGCTCAGTCAGGAGAACGTATAGGTAGAAAGAAATACAGGTGGATTCCAGTCCATTCCGTACAAACGGTCAGAGAGGAGAAGTGGCTAGCCAACGGGACTAGAAGGGTTGGTGTTATCTGCTCGAGATTCAAGAGCACTGCTTCCGGTTAACCGAAGGAAGCATTAACTGTTGCGAGCACAGAGGTGTCGGTATGGTCGGCTGGTCGGCTGTTGCAGAGGGGTCACGTGGAAGGAGGGAGGTCCAGAGAGTCGGGATGTCAGAGATGACCTAAGCTAATGCAGTGTCAAGGAGCTAAGAGCAGAATCTCTAAGGCAATGCATTGCGACAGGAAAGACTGTTCTGCAGGGGAGCATGCTAGAGAGGGAGACAGGCTGCTCGTGGAGAAACAAAAACTGTCTACAGTTGCCCCTCAGTATGCACAGCGAGACTGGCTCCAGGAACACCTACTAACATTTGCAGGCTCCAGGCAGAATGTGCCGGTATAACCCACACACATTCTCCCACGTACCAGCTCTACCCTGGGTCACCCTTAATAGCTGACACCGAGTTAAGGCTATGTGTGAGGTGCTCACATTGTATCACCCAGGAAATAACGGAGAGCAAAAAAAAAGTGTGCATCCCCAAATATTCCCATTCAGAGGTTTTTTGATTTGAGGATGTGCAACCCTCTGGTATGGAGGACCAGTGGCGTTTTGGTTAGGAAGCTGGATTTGTTTAGGCTTCAGAAGAGGAATCTGTGGATGGATCCTGATGTTGACATACGGGGAATGGAGAACATTGCCTTTGTAGCAGGGTACCAGAGGGGGTAAAGAAAAAGACATTGGTGGAGATGTTAGCCCGGAGTAAGAGGGTTGCTTCTTCCTTTGAGACACGGAGGGGCGGGGTTAGGGGGAACCACAGTCCTGCACACACACAAGCCCTCTTGAATTCATTCTGCCCCTGTTTTCCTTCCTCTTACAGTAAGATGTGCTGAACATTTGAATGTTTTCTTCGGGGTTTTATTCCTCCTCTGATGTTTAATCAAACAGAGGGTGCCGGTTTATTAGTTATGTTTTCATGTTTTCTGCGGTTTTTTTTGAAGATGCAGTCTTTCTGGCACAAGCATTTGCAAATTAAGGGTTATTAAAATCCAGAAGAAGTGAAAAACTCTGATTGCCAGCCTTAATTACCAGCTTTAATTCTCTCGGTTGTACGAGTGTTGGTGTCACAAGGCAAATCCCAAATGTCTGCTTACAGAAGCTAGGATGGTACTGTTTTAAACAACAAAAGCTAAAGTTACTGTCCTTAGTAAGAGGTCCTAAAGTTTGTAACAACCAAACTCCCTTCCGCCACTCTGTTCCTCCCTCCCTCCCTCCCTCCCTCCCTCCCTCTCCCTCCCTCCCTCCCTCCCTCCCTCCCTCCCTCTCCCTCCCTCTCTCTCTCCCTCCCTCCTTCTCTCCCTCTCTCCCTCCCTCCCTCCCTCCCTCTCTCACTCCCTCCCTCCCTCTCTCCTTCCCTCCCTCTCTCCTTCCCTCCCATCTTCGTGCCTTTCCAGTGGTATTTCATTTGTTGTCACCATGTGCCAGGCTCTACGATCGGTGCTGAGAACACAGCAATCAGACATGCTCACTATCCTAGCGGAGCTTAGAATCTAAAGGAGGAGATGGACAGCCAATATGTATACACTCACACACACACACACACACACACACACACACACACACACACACACACACCAAAGAAACAAAGTACTATAAAATCAATACAGTGTGTGATAAAGTGAGGTGTGGGTAAAGGCGAGGGCTCCTTTAAGTAAGGTATCTAGGGAAATGCCTCTTCAAGGAAGCTATGTTTACTCTCCATGAAAGAGCAACACTGTTTTCCCAGTAGGGAGCAAGAGAACATGTCAGGATCCAAGACTGTTGGGAAGGCTACTGTGGTTGTAGACCAAGGAGTCAGGGCCTAGTAAAAGAAAAGGTGGGTGTCAGGTCCTGTTGGGATTTGGGGAATTCGGATCAGATCCAAAGACTGGAAAGGTAGAGGCTTGGTTTGCTTGTGTCTTCTTTGTTACCACTGGTAGACGCATAGTGCCTTTATGCCCCTCTGTGTCTCTAAATAGATGGGATCTTAGGAGCCCTTTCTTCGTGTCTTGCGGAGAGCATCCTTCACGTTGAAATGTGTCTCACGAGGATGGAGAGACTCCGTTCACCCACGTATGCATTTGAATGGCACATGGCCACTAGAATGATCGGAAAGAAGCGTATTGAAAGAACAGGACGTTGAAAGAATTAGTGCAGGAGAGAAATACTGGGGTTTTAGAGGTAAAGGTGGCAGGGAAGACAAAAGCAGAAGGTATCTGAAGTACTACTGTACATTTTGGAGGAGGAAGTGATGGAACAACTGTAGATGTTGGCGTGGTAGATTGAATATTTGAGTCTTTGCTTTCCGTGGTCCCCAGTTGGTGGAACTGTTTGGGAAGGATTGGGAGGTGGCACCTTGTTAGAGGCACTATGTCACAGTGGGCGGGGTTTGGGGTTTCAAAAGCCCAGGCCGTTCCCAGTTAACTCTCTTCTCTCTCTCTGTTTCTCTCTAGCTCTGGCTCTGTCTCCTTCCTGCTTGTAGATCAGATGTGAGTTCTCTGAATCTGTCCCAGCATTATGCCTACCTACCTGTCTGCTGCCATGTTCCCATCATGATGGTCATGGACGCACTCTTTGAAACTGTGAGTCCCCAACAAATTGTTCCTTCTAACTTGGTCACAGTGCCTCTTCATAGAAATAAAAAAGCAAGTGGGTAAGAAAAAATCTGAGACTGGCAGATTTCTGGCTTGCATGACTAAAATCCGTACCATGTCAATACTCTTTGGAAAGGCCAATATAGGGAGCTGGGGATAGGGAAGGGGGAAAAGATTTGTGTTGGATATGGTATCTAAGATGTGGTCAAATGGAGATTTCAGGTAAGCAGATGGGTATGTGTGCCTGGTGCCCATGTCCTTTGGATGTAAACTCCAATGTCATAAAGAATTGAAAGTACTTGAAGTCATATGGATGGCTCAGAGGAAAAGGCAGGATACTAAGAGAACGCATGCTCTGAAACTTAGGTCTGGAGAACTACGTCATTTGGAGCCAGGCACTGGAGAAGGAGCTGGCCATGGAGATTAAAATGTAGTAGCCAGTGAGAGAGGAAGCCAAGCCAAGTCATGCAAGAAGAATGTGCCAAGAAAGAGAATCATTACTCTGTGGAAATCTAGGAGTAGCTCCTTAAGATGAGGGTGGAAAGCCCCCACTGATCTTGCAACGCAGCGAGTGTTGGAGACCCCAAAAGAAATGATTTCCGTGACGGTGGCGGTAGAAGCCATCATGGTGGTGGCAGTGGAAGCCACACTGGTATGCTGGTTGACCCTATATACACCCTCACTTAAAGTGCACTTGTCTTTCAAGTATTACAGTCAGGCATGTATCAGAAATATGTAGACTGTGTTTTTACTGTTGAAGTCATCGTCAAGAGCTTGTGACACGGTGGGCGTTCATCATCTCCACTCTCTGACCACAGTGAGTCATCATGATGAGATCATAACCCTTTCACTGTATTCTGGCTCAGTACTAAGCTTTATGAATGACTCAGGTAGATTAGACTATAATCGTAGTTGACGGCAGATACAGTCATAGAATCCTTAACAACGGGGCGCGTTCTGAGATGTGTACATTAGCCAGCTGCGTTGTGTGAACACAACTCATGCCTTTGTGATAAATGTCAAGAAAGTCAACTTTTTCTTTTTTTGCAAATAGTTGAGTACACTCTAAACCAGCGATTAAACGGTTGAGTGTAGCTAATGCATAAGCCAGTAAAATCATCAATAATAATGATTCTCTACCATGCACCTGGTAGAACAAAAGCTTTTCTTCCATCAGCATCACATTGCATGACAGATGACCTGTGCCATCATGCCATCAGGTTCTTCAGCTGCCTTCTAGTCTTAGGATGTACAAGGAGCTCTTCATTGGTCTCGACAGTACAAAGCCAGAGTCAGATACAGAGGGAAACGCTGAGAGACCAGAGAGAAGGAGCAAGCCACAGCACACCTCACCTCCTAAGCATCTCAGCAGACAAGAGAGCTATTTCCTGTTTCTCCCTGCTTATATCCTGTTTCTGCCCAGCTGCCTCACTTCCTGTCTGTCCGTACAGGACCTCTATGGTTAGTTAGTAGCAAGCTCCATTCTCTGAGCCCCAGACAGACTTTACCTGTTCAAGCCAGCTATCACCACATTAGGACTGTGAGATCTGTGTGCGGTATGGCTGTGAACTGATCGTACCTCTGAGCATACAGGTTAGAAAAGGACTTGGATTAGAATGAAGGACCAGTGTCGTGCAAATTCAGAAGTTCTCCAAAATCCGCATCTCAAACCCGTTACCTTGCTTTTAAACAACAAGCAGTTTTCCGCTTTGAATTGCCTTCCCAGGTGGCCCAGTATCAACTGGAACCTAATACCGGCAACCCTGGCAATCATCTCGCAATGAGTCAAGCTAGGGACTGCACAATGATCCTGGGTTCCTCACCAGGGCCCACGCGCCTCTCTGGTACGCAAACCATCCTAGTAAGCAATAAACTGTGGCTGGTTTCCTCTCTCAGTTCCCCAACAGGTCCTGCTTGACGTGACACCACTGTCACAGTCTTGGTCTTTTTCACATCAACCTTTTATACACCTCTCAGCATTACCTTTTAAAAGCCCTTAATTTTAATGACACGGCGCCAGCAAGAGCCAGAATGACCAGGGTTGAGTCTCGGAGTCACATGAGAACTCGGTATGACCCTTGCTGACAACACGGAGATCACAGCTCTGCAGGGATTTTGCACTCCAGCTCTTAACTTAAGAGGCTTGACTCCCCTCACTGTATTTCTCTTTCCCAACATTTGTTTATAATTGAGATTTTTTTTCTGAAGCACTTCCTTTTCCCAGGACACGCCGTGTTCTCTTCACACATTCCATTTAGCTGTAAATCATCTCCGTCATTTTTTCTGTATTAAAAGAAGAGTGACTTACGTCTAAGGGCAAAGTTTAAATACGCTAGTCTCTGTAGATGTCCCCATCGTCTTCTGTAACAATTTTTGTCTCATTGTGCTGTCTTCCTAGGAGGTGTCAGTTGTTATTTCAAAGCAAATGAAGCCAGCTAAGGAAAGGG